TGGTAAATTGGTTTAACTTTTTAAGAAACAAATTGTTTTTCAGAGTAACTGTACCATTTTACATGCCTGCCAGCATTATATGAGGTTTCCCACTTTTCATATCCTTGCCAACATTTGTGATTATTTATCTTTCTGATTCTAATCATTCTAGTGAGCATGAAGTGGTATTTCAGGGATTTAATTTGTATTTCCCTAATAACTGATAATGTTAAGCATCTTTTTTAATGTGTTTATTATCCTTTAATAGATGTTCTTTGGTGAAACGTTTATTCAAATATTTTGCCCATTTTTAAATTGGGTTGTGTTTTATTATTGAGTTGTAAGAGACACAAAAGACCACCTATCACAGGATTGTATTTATATGAAAAGTTCAGAAAAGGCAAATCTTTAGAGACAGGAAGTAAATAAACTTCCTGTGGCTGGAGGTGAGAATGGGAGTAATTAACTATAAAATGGACAAGAAAGATCTTATGGGGAGGATAATAGTGTTGTTAACTGGATTGTGGTACTGGTTGCACAACTGGATGTATTTACTAAAAGTAATTATATGCTTACCACAAGTGAGTTGTAAAGTTGTGTTTTGTTTTGTTTTGTTTTAAATGAAGAGAGGTTCTCTGTAAGATTAAGTGCTCTAGGAAGATAGAACTGCATGTGCTTAGAGGCTCAGAGGTATATGATATTGTTGAGAGAGAGGCAAAAAAAAAAAGTGTAGCTAAAAACAAGTGAAGGAAGTACAAGGGATGAAGCCGGAAACATGGGTCTTCATTCTGAAGGTGTTACATACCATGCTGAGGAGTTTGGACTTGATCCTGTAGACAAGAAGAAACTCCCAGAAAGTTGGCTTTTTGTAGAGATTCTATTCTAAATGTAAAAGATTTATACACATTTGCAGTTATTTGGGTGGTTTCATTCATCTTCTTTTTGTGTAGAAAAAAATGAACTTGTGACTTTCTTATTGTGAAGGTAAACACTGGCAGACTGATGGCATCAGCAATGTCCTTTACCAATCAGAAGAAAGACTTATAACATTCAGCCTAGAAACTTTTGGCCCTGTTACCTTGATTCAAGATACTCATATTAACATGCCATTCCAGTCATGGGAACTCAGACCACTTGATGTGAATAAAGTACTTTTGACTGTGACTACGGTATTTACTGAGATACAAATACAAATTAAGGTAAGTCACAATTATAGTAAGTCATATGAAAGAGGTAAGCCTCTTTGAGGACAGCATGTCGAAGCAATCCATCATTGGTGATTTACATTTTGAAATGTCTTTTATAAATATATTTAAAATATACTTTGACCCATAATTTTTTAACCTTTTTTCCTAATGTTTAATTAAAGTTTATTTTGAAAGACAGGGAGAGAGAATCCCAAGCAGGCACTGTCAGCGCGGAGCTGGTCACAGGGCTCGAACCCATGACCTGAGCCTAAATCAAGAGTCAGTTGCTTAACTGACCGATCCACAATTTCTAAACAAAATAAAACAAAAATTCTAAATGAAATAGTAATTGGATCGGTAATAACATGTAATAAATGAGATGCAATTTTGAACCCTAAATTTAGTAGAAATAGACCAATTAATGAAGCTACAAGCCCGGTTGTAATATGACTTCGAGAGTTTTTGATCCACTCTCAAGAGACTTCTTCCTCAAAACTGGAAGAGAGAGATGTGAACTCTGTACACCTTCAAATTGCCACTTTGCAGACTTTAAAACCAGATAATTTTGCATTATGTTGTCTTATATGTGTAAAAAAAAAAAAAAGTATCCTTAAAAGTTGCAACATGAATAGCTACTGAATGGCTATTGTAATTCAATATGACCATCATCAGTGTTCTTAGATCATAACTTATAAGATGGGAGGACACCTGAGACGTTAGTCCCTCGATTGTTCAAATAAAGCCCAAAAAAGGTTGACCGATTGGGTGAGGTAATAAGGAGACTTTGTGGCGAAGCTCAGAGCTGGCTTAAAACATAGCTGTCCTGCATTCTTCTCAATGCAGAATGATATAGGGCTAAAAAACAAATGGTATAAAGAACGTCAAGTCTGGAAATGGAATAACGAAGTAATAATTCATAAAAGCTTCTTTCTTCTTCTTGAGATTAGGAAAACCTCTGCATGTTAGCATCAGTCAAAGTAGATAACAAGAAACACTCCTCTACTTTGGAAGGAAGATGGATGACTCCTATTTCTTTTATTCTTGCTTTGAAAGAAACTGGATTGAATATCTTTCCTACTGGACACTCTCATTTTTATGTTGTTATAAATCATAAGGTAAGAACAAATCTTTCCAGATTTAATGTAATGGACAGTTAGAATGTTAGCAAGTACTAAATTTTACGTAAATCTTAAGGTATGTTGCAGGTTTTCTATATCCACATGTACAGGATTATAGTTAGAAAGGAAGGAATAAAGGGCAAGACCAGAAACCCAGGGTTGTCTCAAGTGTAATAATCTTTCCCAAAAGAGTAAGCCTGTAGTATGATCTTCATATCACAAATGGAGCATTGTCCACAGCTGGCCAGTTCTGCATTTTGTATCAAGTTTTCTTCCTTCTTCCAGGCTGGACATATGTAAGATTTCTTAAAACAGGAAATGACTCAACATTTGCCCAAACATGACAAATCAGGCAAAATTAAACACACTGATACAGAACCCACTTCCTTCTGCTTCTTGGCAAAGGCTCCCCATCTGCATACTGCTTCATGTTACCCATTAGGCTTTAGTTAAATAAGATCCTTCCATGTTAAACTGTGTGCTCCTTGAGGATGGGGACTGCTTTTTCATCACCTAGCATTCTTCTAGCACTTCTAGATTTAATGTCTTCCTTAAATCAGTAGACATTTAATAAATAGGATATATAAACGAAGACAAGGTTCTAATCAGGAAAAATGTTTTAGGCAGAAGAGTTCTGTACTCAAGAACAGGTTTATCATATATCAGATATGACAATACAGGTAGACCTATAACATTGGAAAATGTGAGTACAGTGTACATATGTGCAAGAAAAAAACACCTTGGCTTTACGCACTCAGTTGCCACTCTACAAATGCTGAATGTAGTGTACTAGTCATTGCAGAATATCCAAGAATTTTTTTTCTAAACATTTATATTCTAGGCATTGTCATAGGTGCTTACGATCCATTAGTGAATAAAACAAAGGTCCCTGCCATTGTGGAGCTTACATTCTAGCAGAGGAAAGCAAAAATCATCTTACTTTTTATGTTTATAGTTTATCTAGTATGTCAAAAGGTGCTAAGTGCTACGGAAAAAAGTGCAGGTCGGGAATCACGGGGCTAGTGCAGCATACGATGGCAAACGGTGTTGGAGGAGGGGGCGCTCAATGAGAAGGTAAGATCTAAGCAAAACTTGAAGGTGGCGAATTAGGCCAAGTGAAAAAAGCAAAGGAAGAAGAAAAGGAGATGATAGATCATGGGGTGTATGTGACGGGACATCAGACCCCTTGTCAGTCATTGTTTGGACCTTGGTTTCTCTTCTGAAAGGCAACACCATTGCCTTGTCCTGACCGGGCGGTCATCTAATATTATATTTTAAATGGATTTTTCTGTACTGAGAAGCGACTGTAGGAGGCCAAAGATGGGAGAGAGGCTTGTTGTGAAGCTCTATGACCAATTGTATTTGTTTTTATATTGACAGGAACCCTTGGTAGAAATTAAAGCTTATCGACAACTGGCCCTGCTAAGTTCTGCTTTTGCATTTGGTTGGAGCAAGTGGAATGTAGAATGTAGTTCAAAAAAAGTTATAGTTAAGGTAGAGTATGCAAAAACCCATAAAACTTTGTCCTCCAAAAGAAGATAAGGTACTCAAAAGCTAAATGAATGTAGGGCATAGTTTCTCCTCTTGAAAAGGTGAAAAAAATTAGCATCCAAAATAGTTTTCAAACCTCACTTTTGTTTATTTTGTCAAAAATATAAAGCCGAACTATGTAAAGATCATGCCTTCATTGCCCAGTATGGTGTCAAACCCTCTTAACTTTAGGCTAATGTCCTTATCTCTCTTTACCTCAACACAAGAACAAATGGAAGCTTTTAATGTGAATATATCTATGATTCACAAACGTTTTCCTCAGAGATGGGTAGGCCTCCAGTTTAACTTTCTGGCACATTTACTGCCTGAGAACAAAGGTATCTTATCAAATTCTAAATGCTGACTGATGAATGTTCTAGCATAAGTGAGCCACCATATTTACTTGTGTATTTTGAATGTAAACTCCTTGAGGATAGCGTTTATTGTTGCAGTTGCTACTTGTTTGGTTTTCTTTCTTTGTTATATCCCCAGAACTTAGAATAATACCTGGCACATGATAGCTTTTCAACATTATCTCTGTTGAATGAATTAATACATTTTGATAAGGTCTATAAACACATGGTTTAAGAAATGGGACACTAAGAATGTTTCTTTTACATTAGGAAGTTGGGGGACTTAGTTCAAATTACACTCTGCTAAAATACCTAATAGAAGAACTATTAATGGATTTCTCTAATTTTCTTTTTCTTTAGCTGAGGGAACACCTTACTGAAGAAGAACCTGTTCAGGATCCTAACTGGACCCTTTTAATGTTTAGTGGTGACAGAGCACAGAGGCTCAAAATCAATGAAAACAGTGAAACATTCTCTGAAGCCCTTAAAGAAGAAACAGAGTTTCATTCTACTCTGTATCACCTGGTTAAGGATTTTGCTTCCAAAGAAGCAATGGAGAAAATTAGGAGCTCCAAATGCCAGTTTATTGATTCTGTATGCTATATGCTACTCTCGACGAGATTACTCAGCTACTCTTAATCCCCAATGGTAAATTTTGTTCAGTATGAAGAATCAAGCAGTTTGGAGAAAAAAATCAGGTTATTCAATAAAATGTAATGAGTTGATATATTTCCAGTAGGTTATTAAAATCTAGTCAGCATTTTATACTCAAATGTTATTTTTTAAAAAGTGGGGTTGTTTTTCCCATGAATACTTTCAGTTTTCACTGTATGAAGATTTGAATGGTTCTTTATTTCAATAAATTTTAACAACATGTAAGATCGCCTCAAAAAGCTCATTAAAAGATCATAGGTAGGCTTCCTCCCCATTATATTTTATTTGGGAGGAAATCACAGAAAGAGGGAATGTAAAATATCTTGCAGTCCTTCTGAGACCCTCTGGTTCTATGCTATAATTTCCCAGCTAAAAATGACTAATTTACAAAGTTCAGATACTGAAACTTTAAAAATGAAGACACATACATTGAGATGTGCTCTGGTCACACTGGTGGTGGCCCATTGTGTTGGAGTCTAGTAAATGGCCACAAGATTTGTTCTAGAGACATCCAGGAGTCCCCATCTGGTGTGGGAGCAGCATCCACAGACTTCTGGAAAAATCGTCCTGTGAGGAAGCTCATCAGAGCTGCAAACAGTACAATGAATGCAACAGAAAGCCAGAGTGCCTTATTAGCTTTTCTGATGGAAGTCTTGAGATTTGTTGCCCAGGAAGCTATTGTGTCATAACTATAAGGAAAATACAGAGTCAGTATTTGGTAATAGCAACAATCTGTTATTAGAAACACTCCTTTTGCCAACAATACCAATCAAATCCTTGATCTGCCACCAACACTGCCTTGTAAGAAGCTACCTAATGTGACCTGCTGTCTTGGTTTGTACTACAATTTGCCCCCATCCCCACCCCTAATAATTTTTAGAATTAGAGAAATGATTTAGAGTTAAATAATGCCTGAGACAGACACCTAATTTTCAGATCATCACCATAGCATTTCTTAACTATTAACAAGAACATTTGAGTATTTATCTCATTCTTTCAATTGAGTAAGGCAACTTCTATTCCTACAGTAGAAACAAAAATGTTATTTTTGGGGTAGAGCATGATATGTGTGTATATACCTATGTCACATACTTCTCACCATAACCTGGACTTTTGCTATATTGAAATTTAAACTATTTTTAGAAACCCCCATAAGAAAAGATTATTATAGCATAGGTCTTTGAAAATAGTTAACTGTGTTAGACACTACACTTAGCATTTTACATGTGCTATTTAATCATGACAACAAAACAATGCCACAGGTGCTACCATTATCATTCCTATCTTCTAGATAAAGAAACTGGTGTTCAATAATGGATGAACTTGCCTAGGTCATCTGACTCCAGGGCCAAGTTCCTAACACTGAACTCTTACACATGCAGGCATAATTCCTGTACACCATGCGAAATTTGTTTTTTTACCCTAAATTTAACAATTTGACAAGTCTTTTAGTACTTTGACTAAAATTAATACTGTTAACCCTGCCTTATCTTTCCCCATTCTACAAAAATGGTATCATGAGCAAGTAGACAACTTACATTGAAGAACCATCCCATTTTGATGGATTATTTCTCTTTTCAGAAAGACTTGGCTTTCTTGTCCTTTCTACTGTTTCTTCTCCAGATGGTTCTGAGTCATCTTTACTTCTGTAAATAAGTATTTTTAAAAATGTTTGAAACTATGGATAATGTACCAGATTATTTATAAAATATTGCTAGATTGTACTACTAAAGAGGCTTTAGATATATATTTTTCTAAAGCAAAACAAATTCTAAAATTCAAATCACTAAATTTATGTTTTTAACCATTTATAGGAATTTAATTTTTAAAACTTACTATATTTAGGAAAATGTTTGTTGTAGAAAGTTGAGATACTATCCAAAGCAAAAGGAGAAATTTACAAAGAACATGCAGAAATTAGTCAATTATCACCACTCATAATTAACCAGTGTTATTAATCTGTGATTTCTTTCCCTGTTTGTGTATATGTAATCATACTTTAAAAAACAAATGTGTATATTTCTTCCGTATTTTTTTATTCAATATGTAGTAAAATATTTTCTCCTTCTACCATATAATTAATCTATTAACAGTGGATTTTATGCTAAACTGGAGTAACATCAAAATGCCATTTCTTCTTTAAAAATCTTAATTTTGAAAGATTTTATAAATCTTTTAATTTTTTTTTTCAACGTTTATTTATTTTTGGGACAGAGAAAGACAGAGCATGAACGGGGGAGGGGTAGAGAGAGAGGGAGACACAGAATCAGAAACAGGCTCCAGGCTCTGAGCCATCAGCCCAGAGCCCGACGCGGGGCTCGAACTCACGGACCGCGAGATCGTGACCTGGCTGAAGTCGGACGCTTAACCGACTGCGCCACCCAGGCGCCCCTAAAGATTTTATAAATCTTTTTATAAAAATTTGTTTATAAAAATATGTTCAGTACAAAGCTAGCTACAATTAATATTTAACGAGCTGAGAAATAGTATGATTTTATTTGAAATACTTTCAATCCAATTGCTATCTACAGAGGAGTTCCTTTAACCTGAACAAAACTTGTTTCATTATCATGTTCACTAAAAAGTTCCTAGTTAGATTTGAATTTTGAAATTAGAAGCTCATTAGGCCCTCACTGTTGCCAAAGGGAACTGTTTCTCAAAGTTTTTTTTTCTTTTTTTCTTTTCTTGTTGGACTTGTATAGGGAATGTGTGTAGATGGTTTTAGTGTTTAAAGGAAACAAGGTCCAAATGCCTGGACTCTTGTTTCTCAAGATTTCAGTTTTTTTGTTTGCAAAGACTTCTCAGAAATCATACTGTACTAACAAAAAAACAAAAGATAGATTGTAATCTTTTGGAGAAAACTTGATTTTTTTCACCCAGGTAAGAAAACTCCATTACATTTGCTCTAAATCTGAAAAGAACTTTCAACATATGCAATAGACTCCCAGGATTATTTAAAAAACAAAAAAACTGAGGGTAGGCACTATGTCTTACTCTTCTTTATACCCCTTAGGATCGAATGTAGTCTATACCACAGAGTAGGCAGGCAACAAACATGTATAAAAAGAACATAAAGCCATTTCAGTCAGATCTCTACAGATGAGGAAACAGACCAAATAAGGTTAAATAGTTTGTCCAATGTTCACCCAGGACTTAGAGGCAGCATTTCTTCATGTCCCTTCTCCTCAGCTGTCTACCTTTTGCTATAGAAGATTTTATTTAACTTGCTACACAGACATATAGCGATATAGCATTTTACGTTTCCCCTACTGTTCATTTACACATATGATAGGGAAGGGAAGATGGATGTATATATAATGCACATAATTTACATATGTGCCTATATGCTATACATACATACATATATATAATTCATGTTTTGTTTCATTTTTTAATCTAAGTAGATGGACATTTTACTTCTGTGGCTCTATACTGACCTTTCTCTCAGATGGCCAGATTACCTACACAGGAAAAAAATAATTTCACAATTCTGGCAAATTTAAGGGTCTTCTCTAACTCAAGACCTCAAACCTTAGGTACTAAAGAGTGAATGTATTTGCAAATAACATTTATAGAATGCTCTACAGTTTATAAAAGTCTTAATGAATTATCTTTTTGATGATGCAGCATCGATCTCATTTCCATAGAGTAAAAGTGATCCCCACTATTTCCCAGTTCACATCAGGTTAATAAACACACCAAGCTTCACCTACTTTAGTTCACATTTTTCTTCTTCAGCATCTGCCCAGGAATAGGTGCTAATAAATCGATGTAATGAGGGACGGTGTTCACTCTGCTTTGACCCCAAAATACGCCTAAATAAAGATGATTATAGCCACTTGTCAAATTAAATATATCCGTAGCCATTATCAATTTATAAGTACTATTTTTTGTTGGCATATTCACATTATGCTTCATTACAAAACTTCATGGTTATACACCTATTTTTATAATTACTGTGCATGTACTCTGTGTAAATCAAATGTTACTCTATTACTTATTGCAAACATTTACTTCGGTCAATTATAAAACAGGAGGTGGTTCCCAAAGGGCAACCATAAAATTACACTTACCAGCTGCTTGACCTCCTACTGAATCGGTCATTTTCCATCCCAGCCACCTTTAAAATTCAGAAATAATTTTAAAAATAATGAAATGTCAATTTAGTGAAGTTTATGTTTTGTTATATGAAAATTAATTTGCTTTTGGCTAAGAACACTTAAGAATTTGCTTACCATTCCTGCATTTCCTATATTTCTGGGCAAAGAGGCAATGGTCACTCTCCGAAGAGAAGATGGCTACCCGAAGAGGGCAAAAAGTACATTTAGAAAATTATCCGTATTTTATCATTGTATATATATAACACTAGTGGATATCCTTGTACCTACACATACCTGCACTTGGTCATTGCTGAGTTAAACAGTAGACATATTTTGTTATGGCCAAATTGCCTTCCAGAAACATTCTACCAACTTCTATTCTACCTCCTCCCAACACCCGATGAGTATAATCAGATACGGCTTTTTGTTTCGGTTTCTAGTAACATTGAACATTTTTTTAATGTTTAATAGTCATGTATATATCTTCTCTGAGAACTATCTGTTCATGATTTTTGCCCATATTATTAATGATATTTCTGACAGAAATGTTTTTCATGGTTAATGCAGCCAAATCTGTCTTTTGCTGTAGTGTTTCTTTTATGCCTAGGTTTTCCCCAACTCAAGAGGTGATAAATATGTACCTATTTTCTAGCTTTTTCTTTTCGTGGTTTCACTTTTTCCATTTACCACATTTAAAGATGGGCATATTTTGATAAATTGATATATTTACATATCAGCATTGAGATTTGCAGAGGAAAATGTGATATACTACTATGTGGTTCTTAAAGTTTAACTTCAGGAAATAAAAATGTAATATTAAATGTAGGAGATAGACTAAAGAAGCTTAAGGTGAATCCTTTTCTTAAACCACCATTCCTAATTTAATTGTATAGGTTAGTTGAATATTAAAAATATAAAATTACAGTCCAAGAAACTTGGGTTCTCACCATGGTCCTGCCACTACGTGATCATAACTAATCACTTAACTTATGTGAAAGTGATTTTCCTCATTTGTGAAAGAGATGTGGATGGAATGATTTTAAAGTCTCTTGCTCAAAAAAGTCTGTGAAATCCTGATTTTCAAACTGGCAAAAACTGCTGGTTGACTTTCAAGATCCCATTTTCCCCTTTTCACTTGGTGTAAAAAAACCTCCTTGAGTTTCTAGTTAGGCACAAAGACTCCAGAATTAAAAACGGGTTTTACAGCCTCATTTTCAACCAAGAAACAAAAGGGAAATGTTATCTGGGATTTCTAGGAATTATCATGAGAGGGAGAGGGAATATCCATTTTTGCTTCTTCCTATTTCTTAGAATGTGACTCCATGAGGAGTTGGTGCCCCTGAACCGATGAAGCCATCCTAGACCTTAAGGTGGAAGCAAAGGGCTGCGGGTGATGAAGCAGCGAGCGGAGACTGGGCCTTTTGGATTTTGTGAAGCTTCTCTACCATTTTGGGACTGCTTATTTCCAACTCTGGTTTTATATGAAAGAGAAACTATCTGGTTTTCCTCCTGCTTTTGGAGAAACTTAATTGATGTACACATACAGTAAGTATAAAAGCATACATATATTCACACATAACTACATAAACACAGACATATGATTTACATGTAAAGCCATGTTTCAAATAATATTTTAAAACCATCTCATCGGTAACATTTGATAGACAATTAGTAATTACCTTGGAGTTTAGAGAAGATGAGCGTCTTTTAATTTGGCAGTCATCTGAAAGGAAAAACACATTTGCACATTTTAGGAATTACATGTGCAATTTTTTGCAACAGTCTTAATTCTTTACAAAGAAGAGCAAAAGTCAGAAAATAAGACCCCAGAGACTACACAGCAATAAAAGTATCTGGTTATTATTTTGTGATTCACAACAATTGCCACTTTAATTGATGGAATGCAATCCTCTATGTCACTACAGATGTCCATAATGCTTACCCAGCACATAGGAGGCGCTAAGTAAATGTATGCTGAATAAATGAAACTACAGATCAGAAGATTATCAAATGTGATTACTTTTTCTAGAAAAGGGAACAGATCATTAGAATAATTCTGTTCAGAAAGGTTCACACTATTTAAATTAAAACTTTATATAAACCTTATGTTTTAAGGTATTTTCCATGGTCTCAGATGTCTATTATCCAATCCATCAGCCAGCTTACTATGCCACAGTCATTCCTTCTTTGAGAAATACAAAACCATTGTTGATGAAAGTGGCTCATTTAACCTACTGTGTTTTATGTGTGGAGAAAAAGCCAATTCTAACATACCCTAAATAGGAGAACATTAGGTAAACTCGATGGGTTGTATTACATATATTCTTTCATGTCAGCAATCTAATTTAATGAATTTTTTGGTGTCATTACCAAAGAATCCTTCTGGTCTCTCAACCTGTTTTCTAAATAATATCTATAGCATTTGGGCTACATAAATAACAGGAATGAGTTATTCTTCTAACATAACCTTAACCTAAAGTTTTTATATCAAAGACATAATAGGAATTTGTAAGAGAGAATGAAAGAGGAGAATGCTAGGAAAACATAACTGATACTATTAAATTTTTATTACCTTCATCTTCAAGAGGATTAAAAGACCTTTCATTTTGCAGAAGAACCTGTTTCAGTTCTTCTAATTCAGCATGCTCTTTGGCATACATTCTCTTCAGGTTTTCTACATGCTGAATCATCACTTCAACTGCTTTACTAACTCGGCTTTCCTAGTAGGAAAAAAAAGAATAAATTTACAGTGAAAATACTATTCTTGATATCCAGTTAAAAAATGGTGATTAGGCACATGCATTTATCTTTACTCCATCCCTATATTCCCCTAAAGTGACAATAAAGGCATTTTTTTAAAGAAGACATGAGTACACAAAGAAAAATAGAACAGAAGAAGATATAATAAAATTTTGAAAGCTTGCTAGTAGAAGGACTAGTGATGAATGTCTAAGACCCGAAAAAGCTGAACTCTAAAAAAAAAAAAAAAAAAAAAAAAAAAGCAGTAAGCCTGCAAGCAACCTGCACTGCACCACAGAAAGCCATGCAAGCTCAGGATTTAAAGGTGCCTCTGAAATTAAACTTGAAGGTAGATATATAACAGAAGAAATGGTTGAAAATCTGCATAAAAAGTGATTAGATCCACAGATCTCCTTACTCAGACCAGCTGAGCAACTTCCCTTCATCACTTTGCCAAAAGACCACAAAGGTTGAATATTTAGAGAGAGAGAAACAGCCTGTGGATTGGGCAGTCACAGATAGTTGATGGTGAATGAATCATACAGAAAAGAAGAGATTAAGCAAAAGTCTGTATACATACTAAATAGTGAGATACCTAGCCTGATTTCTCCCTCCAACTTGCAAACACTGGCAGCCAGGCTTATACTCTCAAAGCAGGTGGTTGGAAGGTTTTCCTCTGAGGAATCTAACACAGCAAGATAAAAGTCTTAACATTACTGACATTAAGAATATCCCAATGAGACATCCTAGCTTGTGTGAAGCTCAGAGACAATGAGAACCTCCCCTGCCCAACATACACACAGCTCCCATTCAGCTATATAGTGGATCATCACTAATCAGAGAAAAGCCTCTAACCATGAAAGAGGAAAATCCGCACTAGAAAAGCAAGCTGGAGGAGATCAACTACCCAAAGTCTTTGAAGAAACTAGAAATACCGTCAGAGTTAAGATTAAGGGTTGCATCCATGAAATAAGAACAAGATCTTAAAAAGCTGCATTTTGAAAATAAAGTTTGGGGATTAAAAATATGACAAAAATACATAAGAGAAGAGCTTCAAGGTAAGGTTGAGGAAATATCCCCCCAAATGGAGCAAAAACACTAAAAAGTAGAAAAGAGATGAAAAAGGACCTGTTCAGGAGATCCAACAGGCAAAGAACAAGAACTCAAGAAAACATAGGAAAATTCCACAGAATGTAGAAAAAGGAAATAATTTTTTAAAAAAATCTCTAGAACTCAAGAACTTGCCAGCTTATATCCACCCAGGGCCTGTACATGAAAATAAACTCATACCAAAAAAAAAAAGGACAGTAGGGAGAAGAGGATATCCTAAAATCTTCTGGAAAGTAAGCAAAGGCATAAACAAAAGCTCAAGAGTCAGAATGGCATCAAACTTTGACAGCAACACCAGAAATTAAGAAGGAAATGAAACAATGCAAGAAAAATTCTAAAGGAAATTATCTCTAACCTAGAATCTATCACCCAGCTAGACTATCAATTAAGTAGGAAAATAAAAACATTTTCAGTTATATAACGTCTCGAAAAGTTTAACTCTCAGGATTTTTTTTTAAATTGAAGTATAGTTGACATACAATATTGTCATAATTTCAGGTGCATGATATAATGATTTGACAATTATGCATTATGCTTCATTCACCATCCTAAGTGTAGTTACCATCTGTCACCATACATTATTACAATTTATTGACTACATTCCCTATGCTGTACTTTTTATCCCTAAGACTAGAGCTTTAATAACTGTAGATTTTTACCCCTTTGTATATTCCTGCCTCCTTTGTTGTAGATTAATTGACCATATATACATGAGGGTTTATTTCTGGGTTCTCTATCCTATTCCACTGATGTATGTGTCTACTTTGGGGTAGTGCCATACTATTTTGAATGCTACAGCTTTGTAGTATATCTTGAAGTCTGGCAGTATGATACCTCTATCTTTGTTCTTCTTTCTGAAGATTGTTTTGGCTATTCAGGGTCTTTTGTGGCTCCTTATAAATTTCAGGATAATTTATTCTAGTTCTGTGAAAAATGCTGGTGGTATTTTGAAAGGAATTGCATTGAATCTATTGATTGCTTGAGGTAATATGGACATTTTAACAATATCAATTCTTTCAATCCATAAGCATGGACTGTCTTTCCATTTGTGTCACCTTCAATTTCTTTGTTTTATAGTCTTCAGAGTACAGGTCTTTCACTTCCTTGGTTAAATTTATTTCTAGATATATTATTATTATTGGTGCAATTGTAATGGGATTGTTTTCTCAATTTCTCTTTCTGCTACTTCATTTTCAGTGTATAGAAATACAAACAATTTCTGTATATTGGTTTCGTATCCTGCAACTTTACTGAAATTAATTATTAGTTCTAATAGTTTTTTGGTGGAGTCTTTAGGGTTTTCTAGATATAGTATCATGTCATCTGCAAATAGTGAGTTTTACTTCTTTCTTACCAATTTAGATGCCTTTTATTTCTTTTTCTTGCTAATTTCTGTGACCAGGACTTCCAGTACAATGTTGAAGTGGTGAGACTGGACATCCTGGTCTTATTCCTGATCTGAGAAGAAAATATTCCAGCTGTGTATGATGTTAGCTGTGGGTTTTTCATATATGACCTTTTTTATTTTGAGGTATGTTCCCTCTGAATCCCCTTTGTTGAGTTTTTATCATGAATGGATGTTGAATTTTGTCAGATGCTTTTTCTGCAGCTATTTAGATGATCATATGGTTTTTAACCTTCATTTTGTGAATCTGATGTATTTGCACATATCGAATCATTCTTGAATACCTGGAGCAAATCCCACTTGAATGTGGGGAATGATTCTTTTAGTGTATTACTGGATTTGGTTTCTAATATTTTGTTGCGGATTTCTGCAATTATGTTCATCAGGGATATTGACCTATAGTTTTCCTTTTTTGTAATGTCTTTGGTTTTGGTATCCAGGTAATGGTGATATTCACAGAATGAATTCATAGAGTTCATAGAATGAATTTGAAAGCTTTCCTTTCTCTTCTATTTTTTTGGAATAATTTGAGGAAGATAGGTACTACCTATTCTTTAAATGTTTGGTAAGAATTCACCTGCAAAACTATCTGATCCTAAACTTTTTTTTGTTGACAGTTTTTTGATTACTGATTCATTACTAGTAATCCTGTTCAGATTTTCTATGTCCTCTTTATTCAGTTTTGGAAACTGTATGTTTCTAGGAATTTATCCATTTCTCCTATGTTGTTATATTTGTTGATATATAACATTTTATAGTAGTCTCTTATAATTCTTTGTATTTCTGTGATGTCAGTCATTATTTTTTCTCTTTCCTGATTTTGAGTTCTCTTTTTATTAATGAGTCTAGCTAAAGGCTTACCAATTTTCTTTATCTTTTTAAGAAAACAGCTCTTGTTTTCATTGATTTTTTTTTTTTTTTTGGCCTCTATTTCATTTATTTCTGGTCTGAGCTTTATTGTTTCCTTCCTTCTACTAACTTTGGGCTTTGTTCTTTTTCTAGTTCCTTTACGTGTAAGGTAAGATTGTTTGAAATTTTTTTGTGGTTCTTGAGGTAGGCTTGTATCATTATAAAATTTCCTCTTAGATCTGCTTTTTCTGCATCCCAAAGATTTTAGACCACTGTATTTTCATTTTCATTTGTGTTTATGACTTCCCCTTTGATTTCTTTGTTGGCCCATTGGTTGGTTAGTAGCATATTGTTTAGCTTCCTAGTGTCTGTGTCTTTTCAAGTTTTTTTTCTTAAAATTGATTTCTAATTTCACACTGTTGTGGTTGGAAAAGATGCTTGGTTTCAATCTTATTTATTGAGATTTTGTTTTTGGCCTAACATGTGATCTAACCTCGAGAATTTTCCATGTGCACTTGAGAAGAATGCGCATTCTGCTAGTTTGGGATGGAACATTCTGTATATGTCCATTAAGTTCGTCTGGTCTTAATGTGTCATTCAAAGCCACTGTTTCCTTATTGATTTTCTGAATGGATGATCTATTCACCGATGTAAGTGATGTATTAAAGTGACCTCCTATTACTGTATTACTGTCAATTTCTCCCTTTATGTCTATTGATATTTGCTTTATGTATTTAGATGCTTCTATGTTGAGTGCATAGATATTTACTATTTTATATCCTTTTGTTGGACTGATCCCATTATCATTATGACCTTCTTTGTCTCTTGTTACGGTCTGTTTAAAATTCTATTTTGTCTGATATAATATTGCTACTCCAGATCTTTTCATTTTTATTTGCACGAAATATTTTTCCATCCCTTTACTTTCAGTCTAGATGTGTCTTTAGCTCTGAAGTGAGTCTCTTGTAGGCAGCATATAGACAGGTATTGTCCTTTTATTCATTCAGTCACCCTATGTCTTTTGATTAAAGCATTTAAAGTAATCATTGCTACATATGTACTCATTGCCATTTTGTTATTATTATTATTATTTTTTGTAGTTCTCTCTTCCTTTCTTCTTCTCTTGCTCTCTTCCACTGTGATTGATGATTTTCCAAGTGTTATGCTTGGATTCATTTCTCTTTGTTTTTGTGTATCTATCATAGGTTTTTGGTTTGTGGGTACCATTAAAATTTGTATCTAACATCCTAAGTATATAGGAGTCTATATTAAGTAGATAGTCACTAATTTTGAACACATTCTAAACAAACTACATTTTTACTCCCATATTTGGTGAGCAGAAAGGAGACCAGTCTGGCTGGAGTGCAATAATTCAGGAAGATAAACTTGGGAAATTAATTTCAAGATGTAAGAGGGTAGGGGAATCATGTAGATCTTTTTAAGCCATCATAAGGATTTTGGTTTTTATTCTGAAAAAAACTGAGGAGCCACTGGAGGACTTTGAACCAAAAAGAAACATGATCTGGCTTAAGTTTTGAAAGTATTACTCTGGCTGCTTTATGGAGAACAGATTATGTTGCAGGGAGTATTTGGTTTGAATGAGAACAGACAGACCATTTAGAAAAATATTGTATTAATCTCTAAAACATAGAATGGTAGCTTAGATCAAGGTGGTAGCAGTGGAGAAAGAAACATGTGGTTGAATTCTGGATATATTCTGATGGTAAATAGGATTTTCTGTAGCATTAGAGGTAGAGTGTGAGAGAAAGGTGTTGAGAATTGCTCCCAAGGATTTTCAATATGATAATCTGGAAGGGAAGTTACCCTTGACTGAGATAAGGAGATTATGAGTAAAACCGGTTTTGGAGAGACCATGGGCAGTTTATTTTTATATATGTTTGAATTGTTTGTCAAATAATATATATATGTTGTTTGAATTGTCTGTCAAGCATCCAAGTGGAAATGCTGCATCTGTAGTTAGTATATTCTAGTCTGGAACTCACAGAAATGGCTTAGGATAAGCATGTGAATTTTGGAGTCATCAGCTGACTACATAAGATGGTATGGGGATTGAAGAAGATGAACATTACATGTACAAGGATGGAGCCCTGGGCCCCACTGATGAGGCCTGGGAGAATGGTGGGACCCACATAGGAGCCTGGAAGGGAGTGACCCATGATGTAGAGAGAAAAACACAGGAGAATGTGGTACCTAGAAGCCTAGTGAGGAGAGTATTTCCAGGAGGAGAAAGAGCTCAGCCATGCTGAATATAGCAGATAGGTTAAGGAAAATAGGTAGGTTAAGGCCAATTAGAGCAGATTTCAGTGAGAATGGGAGGGGACAAATTAGAGACCATGAGTACTGTTGAATTCTGTTGAGGAAATTTGCTGGAAATGCGAGCAGAGAAACGGTGGTAGTCAAAGAAGAAAGGGTCGAAGATTATTTTATTTGTTTTTGTGTTTTTTTCCATCTTAAAGACACTATATATGTGTTCTCATGAGAATGATTCGATACAGTGGGGAAAGTTGAAGATTTTTGAAGGAAAATAGGGAGAATCAGACCCCAAGACTCCGAGTAAATTAGGAGGATGGATTCTGGTATACAGTTGAGATGGTTAGCCTTAGACAGGATTAGAAACAACTCATGTTTTGTACTGTGAAGGAAGGCAAAGTATGAGGGTTGAGATGTTACTAGGTTTGGAACTTGTGGCAGTTCCCTTCCAAATGACTCCAAGTTCTCCCTGAGGCAGGAAGCAAAGTCGTTATTTGATAGAGAAAATGGGGAAGGACATGATGAAGATTTGAGGAGAAAGGAGAAAGTGTGAAATTGATATTTGGAACAGATGATTTAGATGACTGTCCCTGGATAATGCTATTATGAGAGGGTATTTTTTTTACATTTTTATTTGCATATTCCATTTTCCATTTTTTCTGTATTAAATATGTAAATCTTGTACAACACAGAAGTATTTTTAAAAACTTCTTCCTAGAAGTGTAATCCATAATCTCAGGGGAAATAGTAATTTTTAGTAGTTTCATCATAGCAAAAGAAACGGAGACAGATTACCTGATTAATGGCTCCAAGCATCTCAGCCCTACTGGCCACTCGTGCAGTGCACTGGCTAAGGAAAGTAATACTCTTCTCCAGCTTCTTAACAATTTCCTGGGCATGATTGTCATCTTCACAAAGTGGTGTTAAAGACTGCACAGAAAGTAAAGTATTAAAATATATGCAACCCAAGTATTCAGCCAATGATTCTAACACTATGTTGTAAATACAAATGACAGTCACATCTCACTTATGTTGGTGGAAAGTGAAAAGAAGCAGCAAAGACCAATAATGAATGGTATTGAAATATTAATATCATTGTTGGCTATCAAACAGACTATGCAGATGTTCACAAAACTTTTTATATCTAGTATTCATCTCTTCCTTCTTTACTTCCTGATTTGCCATTCTTTTGTGCACATTTCTACCTACCACTTTTCCACTTAACAGAATAGGATATACTTAACTGGTAATGGTAGAGAAACTGTGCTTATGAATGAGTTGAGTGTATTGTATAAGGAGCATGGTTTGAACTTTTAAGAAAAGTAGTGAAATATACTACATTTAGATATGGTTCTGACTTATATACTTCCTCTTGTATTGATTACAAAGCATTATTGGGCAGGTTAGATGGGTATGCCTGCACTGCTTCATGAATATTTCTTTCAAACCTGTGCCCTTTCCTGATAGAAGACCATCCATTTCACTAGGGTAGAGACAGAATTAAGTGGACAGATTTGGAAACAAACAAGCCACTGCTTATTAGCTGTGTTTCCATGAGTGCATTTCTAAGACTTGCCCAAATCTAAAACACCATAAATTTTGTATATCATTTAAAAAGGAAAAGTTGTGTCAATAAAATTATAAGGCATCACTGACTATATATTCCATTGTAATCCTAAAAATATTATGTAAACATTTCTGTTTGCTCTTTCTTCATCTGCCAGATGGAGACAACTATGGGAATTCCTTTCCAGGAATACCGGGATATGGGTGGTAATATATGCAAATTGCTTTTCACACAGTAGATGCTAAATAAATGTCAGCTACTTCTGAAACAGAAACAAATGTGTGAGTTGCAGCTGGAGAGTTGCTAACCAACTGTAGTGGCCATTGTCAAACACATAGTTTCCTATTGTAGTTTAAATAACCACATTCAATTGGGAAAGGAAGAGCAGATATTAGTTGTCAGCCAAACAAAATATGGTTTTACCAAAATTGAATCATGAAGAAATAGAAATTTTGAATAGAACAATAGCTAGTACAGAGATTGAAGCAAAACTCCCCCAACAAAGTCCAATAATGGTTGGCTTCATTGGAGAATTCTACAAAACATGGAAAGAAGATTAAAACCATTTTTCGACAACAAGTATTGGCAAGGATGTGGAGAAAAAAGGAATCCTCATGCACTACTGGTGGGAATGCAAACTACTACAGCCACTATGCAAAACAGTATGGAGGCTCCTCAAAAAATTAAAAATATAACTACCCTACAACCTAAAATTGCATTACTGGGTATTTATCCCAAAAATACAAACACACTAATTTCGAATTAGGATCCATGAGCCCCTATGTTTATTGCAGCATTTACAGTAGCCAAACTATAAAAGCAGCCCAAGTGTCCAATGATAGATGAATGGATAAAGAAGATGTGCTATGTATATTCTATGGAATATTATTCAACCATAAAAGATGAAATCTTATTTGCAACAACATGGATAGAGCTAGAGAGTATAATGCTAAGTGAAATCAGTCAGTCAGAGAAAGACAAATACCATATGATCTCACCCATATGTAGAATTTAAGAAACAAAATAAATAAGCAAAGGAAAAAGAAGAGACAGAGAGAAAAACTGTTAACAAACTTATGGTTACCAAAAGGGAGGTGGGTAGGGGGATGAGTGAAATAAATGATGGGGAGTCAAATACACTTATTATTAAAAAAAAAAGAACTTTAAGCAAACCCAGGGCTGTACTTGTGGATTAATTAAGCATGTATAATTTACCACTGCAGTTTACATAACTGTGTTTTTCTCATTCTGGTAAATAGGCATTTCCAGCTTCAGGAGAAAAATTAGAACATTTCTGCACAATAAAATAAGCCATCAGCCTATTCAACTATTATAAGTAAAAAAAGTCTCGGTTCATACCACCACTGCTTAGTTTTGAAGTTGAAATAAGTTTCCAAGTTTAATCCAACTTTTCACCATTTACATCTATTTCTTTTTGTTCACATTTATTGCGTTGATTTTTTCCCTGTAATGAATTCCCTGTATTTTTTTCCTTGTAAACAATACTATTTTCTTATTCTAGTTTGATGCTACATCAAATGATATGAATAATTCAGAGAATGCCAATCTAGGAAAATACTTTCACTATACTTAGGTAGACAGGGCCAAGAGCAAAAGATGGTGATGGAAACACATCAGGGTTTGAATGGTTTGTCACATGTTATTACTCGTAGGCTTTTGGATAAATTAGCCATTAATACTAAGTGACTGTTTCTCATCTACAAAATGGGAATAATAATGCCTATTCCACATGTGGTCGTGTTACATTTTATAACGAATGTAAAAAGCCTAATTTAGACCTGGGCAGGTGGTAGGTGTTCAATAAACAATATGTATTTTTTATGTTTTCTTATTAAAACAAAATTCTAAATCGCTAGTAGTTCAAAGGATTTGTTTCTATATGGGAGTTCATTTAGTTCTTAGTAATAGGCTATAAAATATTTAGAAACACTGGTTATTTGTCTCATTATGGCTTTATGGCAAATTTATTCAAATTTTTATATAGGTAGATAACCTGGGGGCATGTCAAGTGTGTTCAACTTGCTTGTGTCTTAATGCCTATATCAGAGTTTTGTTTGTTTGTTTTGTTTTAAGCCAAAAAAGGCCCTTGTGGGAAATGAAAACTTAATAAAATTGTTCATAAAATAAGTACAATAAATCTTAAAAAAAAATAAACAATCCCTCTAAAAGTCTTCCAAAAACCTGAAGAGGAGCAAACATTTCCAGGCTCATTCTTTGAGGCCCACTATTACTCTAATATCAAAGCCAAAGACCACAAGAAAATTACAGACTACTGGCCTTTATGAATGTTGATGTAAAAATCCTCAACAAAATACTAGCAAACCAATTTGAACAGTACATTAAAAGTATTATAAACCATGACCAAGTGAGATTTATTCATTTAATGCAAGGATGGTTCAGCATATAAAAATCAATCTGGTGTGATACACCACATTAGCAGATTAAAGGATAAAAACCCACATGACCATCCAAATTGATGCAGAAAAGCATTTGACAGGATTCAACACCCTTGATAAAAATATTCAGAAAACTAGAAATAGACAAAAAACTATGTCAACATAATAAAGGTCATATATGACAAGCCCACAGCTAACATCATACACAATGGTGAAAGGATCAAAGTTTTCCTCTAAGATATGGAACAAGGCAAGGATGTGCACACCCTACCACTTCTATGCAACCTAGTACTGGAAGTCCTAGTCAGAGCAGTTAGGCAAGTAATACATTAGAAATCCACACTGGAAAGGAAGAAGTAAATTAATCTCTGTTCATATATGACATGATCTTATATATAGAAACCCCTAGATTGTTATAACTAATAAACAAATTCGAAAAGATACAGGATACAAAATCAACGTACAAAAATCAATGGCATTCACATACACTAATGATGAACCCAAAAAGAAAATTAAGAAAATTCCACTTATAATACCATCATAAAAAATAAAGTACTTATGAATAAACCTAACAAAGGAGGTAAAAGACTTGTACTCTAAAAACTACAAACATTGCTGAAATTAAAGGAGACACAAATAAAAGGAAAGACATCCTGTGTTCATGGATTGGAAGATGGTTTTCTTAAGATGTCCATTCTACTGAAATCTGCCTACAGATTCAATGCAATCCCTATCAAAATCCCAGTGGTATTTTTTTTTTTGCATAAATAGAAAAATTCATCCTAAAACTGATATGGAATCTCAAAGGACCCCTAATAGCCAAAACAATTTTGAAAAAGAGTCGAAGGACTGACACTTTCTGATTTCAAAACATACTACAAAGCTATAATATGGTACTGGAATAAAGACAAAAAAAAAACAAGGATGCCAAGACCCAGTGGAAAAACTGGATATCTTTTCATGGAGGTCATCAAGAAGACATGACCACCAGTTGATCTATCAGCTGGATCCAGGTAATCAGAGGTTATTCACCCCCTCTCCTGTCCTTGAACTATGGCTTCCCCACTCTGAGAAGCTGCCCCAAGAACACTGCCTTGAAATAATGGCGTAGTGCTGAGATCATTTGGATGGTATATATAACAACCCAGTAAAGCCTCTATATAAACTTAATAGATTTGGTGGGTGGCTGCAGAGATCTACTTGTCTTGTAGCCACCAAAGACAAGCGCATATGTAAATTCCTTTGCTTATTAAACCTTCCATCTACCAACTTGGAGTGACCTGCCTTTTCCTTCAGTTTCTCCCTGCCCTCTGAATATGAGGGCTAGTTTCAGATTATATCCACGAAGCTCCTGAGGATCTTGCAAACCAACAATATCCATATCCGTACCCATATCGATGTCCACATTTAATATCCATATCAAAAAAAGTGAAATTGGACTCTTATCTTACACTATATACAAAAGTAAACTCAAAATGGATTGAATAGGGGCACCTGAGTGGCTCAGTTGGTTAAGCATCAGACTCTTGATTTTGGCTCAGGTCACGATCTCACAGTTTGTGGCATCAAGCTCTGCATTAGGTTCTGTGCTGACAGTGTGGAGCCTGCCTGGGATTCTCTTCTCTCTCTGCCTCTCCCCTGATCATGTTCATATTCATATTCTCTCTCTCTCTCCCTCCCTCTCTCTAAACAAACAAACAAACAAACAAACAAACAAATAAACAAACACGAAAAAAATGGATTAAAGGAGCACCTGGGTGGCTCAGTAGGCTAAGCCTCCGACTTCAGCTCAGGTCATGATCTCATGGTTTGTGAGTTCGAGCCCCACATTGGGCTCTGTGCTAATGGTGTGGAGCCAGCTTAGAATTCTTTCTCTCTGCCTCTCTCTCTCTGCCCCTTCTGGGCTCATGCTCTCTCTCTCCCTCTCTCTCAACATAAACTAAAAAAAAAAAGCATTAAAGATTTAAATTTAAGACCCAAAACTATGTAACTTCAGAAGAAAACATAGGGGAGAATCTTCATGACATTGGATTTGACAATGATTTCTTGGATATGACACCAAAAGCACAAGCAACAAAAGCAAAAATAGACAAATACTGCTATATCAAGTTTAAACACTTCTGTGCATCAAAGAACATAATCAACAAACAAAAAGGAAACCTATGGAGTAGGAGAAAAAAAAACATACATCTTATTACAAAATTGTCAAAGGACTTAAATAGACATTTTTCCAGAGATGGTATGCAAATGGCCAACAAAGAGATGTATGAAAAGATGCTCAATAATACAAACCATCAGAGAAATGCAAAGCAAACCACAATAAGATTCCATCTTGCACCCATTAGTATGGCTACTATCGAAAAAGCAGAAAATACCATGTTGGCCCTCATGTGCAGAAATTAGAACCCTGGTGCACTATTACTAGGATTGTGAAATGGTGCAACCACTAAGCAAAACAATACGATGGTTCCTCACAAACTTAAAAATGGAACTCCTATTCCCACTCTGGGTAGATTTCTAAAAGAACTGAAAGCAGGGTGCCAAAGAGATATTTGCACACCCATGTTCATAGCAGCAATATTCACACTAGCCAAAGATGGAAGCAACTCAAATGTCTATTGATAAATGAATGGGCAAACAAAATGCAGGATACACATGTAATGGAATATTAATTCAGCCTTAAAAAGGAAGGAAATCCTGTCGCAAGCTAAAACATGGATAAAGTTTGAAAACATCATACTAAGTGAAATAAGCCAGATACAAGAAGACAAACACTATATGATTTTACTCATATGAGGTATCTGAGGTAGTCAAATTCATAGAAACAGAAAGTAAAATGGTGGTTACCAGGGGCTGAGAGGAGGGGAAAAGCGGGGTTGTTTAATGGGTACAGAGTTTCAGTATGCAAGATGGGAAAGTTCTGGAGATCTGCTTTGCAACCGTGTGACATACTTAACACTACTGAACTGTATACTTAAAATGGTTGATATGGCAATTTTGATGTTATGTATCTTTACTACAATAAAAAAAACAGAATATGGTTTCTAAATTTTTATTTTTCTTTTTCCAAAAATAACCTTCTTAATTTTCCAACCCATCCCTATACTTACGGTTATTTCACAAAATGGAAAAATAGTAGTAGTTGTTACCTATCTACCTACACAGGGCTTGCCCATCATCTGACAAGACTAAAATCAGTCACCATTCTTTTTTTCAGTTAATTAAATGGAAATAGACTTTTGATTCTCTTCTTTGAAGCTTAAAATTGATATTATCTCCTATTGCTCAGTTTCCTGCATGATGACTCTTCTGCCTGAAACCTATGTGAACATTTGGAGAGAAGGCAGGTGACCCACAATGATTTTTTTTTTTTAAATTTTTTTTTTCAACGTTTATTTATTTTTGGGACAGAGAGAGACAGAGCATGAACGGGGGAGGGGCAGAGAGAGAGGGAGACACAGAATCGGAAACAGGCTCCAGGCTCTGAGCCATCAGCCCAGAGCCCGACGCGGGGCTCGAACTCACGGACCGCAAGATCGTGACCTGGCTGAAGTCGGACGCTTAACCGACTGAGCCACCCAGGCGCCCCCACAATGATTTTAAAAGGCATTTTTTTTTTTTATTGCTCATACTCTATTAGCAATCTTTTATTTTAGCCTGATCCTGAATTCTTACTTCCTCTAATTCACATCTGAGTCAGGCAGGGCTTGGTGCCTGGTATTGGTTTTAGTCACAAAAGTAAACTCCTATGTAATTTTGAAAACATTATTAACAATATGACCAGGTGTGTAGTCCCCAAATGTTAGGGTTCTCACCTCTAACAGCTTTAAACAGTTAGTGATTTCTTTCTTCAAATTTTCTTCTGCCAAGTCTCGTGATCTTTCTTCAAGCTTTACTCTTTTCTCCAAGGTGAACCAGTCACACTTAAATCCCAAAGATAATCTGAGAAATTCAGCCTATTGTCAAAATAATGTGAAGGTGAGGGGAGAAAATTGGTTGTAGTGAAATATTTCAACTTAATACTGGGTTATGCTGAGTCATTACTTTCTCCTCCCAGCAACATAATGCTGGCATACATCAGCTTTACCTGCACTTAGTCACTGCCAAGGTAACCAGACACCAAATGTATGACAGCTTGTCATAGACTGTATGAAGTGATAATAGACAAGGGAGTCAGAAACATTTTTTTTTAACTTAAAGGGACAAAACTCACCTCAACCTCCTTCTCATTAGCAGAAGTGCTGTAGGATAAGAAAAAAAAAGTGTTCAAACGTAATTCAATAGAGAAGCAAAAATGTGAGCATGCCATATGAAGAAGAACTTACTTGTCACTTTGTTTAAAGTTAACCGATTTCACAGTGGTTACAGGGAGAGAGGAAACAGCAGCAACTATTAAAAGACAATAAAATATTATTGGGTTATAAAGGCTTAGTGGAAGACACAATCAAATGTCCCCTCTCCACTACAGGCATTTCATTGACGTATAGCTGAAATAGCAGCCAGCTAATAATGCAGTTTCTTAAATATAAGATAATGTTATGTTATGCTATTGGGATCACAATGACATTAAAATCATTGGCTCATACGTTATCGTGTGAATAGTCTGAAACCTGAAGAGGTCTCAGAGTCCAATTGCTCTCTTTGCATTTGAATGTTTGACTCGATCCCATGGCTAAATGCACACCTTCCTCTGGTACCTTGGTCCTTTTTCAGATCAAGGCTTTAACAGCAGCAGGAGTAGTCAGTGAAGTAATAGTAGTGGTATAATAGCATAATAATAATAATAACAACAGCAACAATAAACATGGTATCAACCATTTGTCACAAGTTTATTATGTGCCAGTCCCAAAACAACGCTCTTTACATATAATGATACTCTTCATGACAACTTCGCAAAAAGGATATATTAGTTATGAAGAGTATTAGAGATGGAAAAAACCTGGTTTAAGTTCCAGCTTTCACCTTTATAGCTCTGTGACCTGGAACAAGTCACAACTTCATCAAACGTGTATAAAGTAAGGATGATATTATTTTACTTTTTTTTTCTTTTTTTTTTTTTTTAGTAGACTCTAGGCATGCCCAGTACAGAGCCCAACACAAGGCTTGAACTCATGACGCTGAGATCAAGACCTAAGCTGAGATCAAGAGCCAGATGCTTGGGGTGCCTGGGTGGCTCAGTTGGTTAAGTGTCTGACTTTGGCTCAGGTCATGATCTCACAGTTCATGGGTTCAAGCCCTGTGTTGGGCTCTGTACTCATAGCTCAGAGCCTGGGGCCTGTTTCAGATTCTGTGTCTCCCTCTTTCTGCCCCTCTGCTGCTTGCTTTCTCTCTCTCTCTCTCTCTCTCTCTCTCTCTCTCTCTAATGAATGAATGAATGAATGAATGAATGAATGAATAAAACGTTGAAAAAAAACTTTAAAAAAAGTCAGATTAACCAACTGAGCCACCCAGGTGCCCTTATTTTTCTATAGTAGCTTTTATGAGAACTTTGCCAAGCGTTTTCCACCTGTTTTATACCTAACTGATTCAATCCTCAGAGCAAACCTGTGGTAGGTACTGTACCATCCAAAGTCTACAGGCTAGGAAACTGAATTGCAATTTACCTATCTAATACAAGTGCATATTTGGGGGAACTAAATAAAACTCTGCACATGAATTCTCAATAAAGATTAGTTTTTTTTCTCATCATTTCCATTTTACAGATGAGGAAATTGACACTCAGGTTAAATATTCTTCCAAATCTGCTAGTCAGAGAATGACCCAGTGTAGAGTCTGCTTGACTTCAAAGCTTCAAATCTATCCTAATGGAGGTGAAAGGGGGAGCAAAGCATATTAGCACTTATTTTTAAATACTTAGTCTTATTCACTGTTGGATGGGATAATGAAAAAAATCTCAAAGTGGAGCTTAGAATTTACTACCAACACTGGCATGGTTCTTTGTTCACAATAGTGTAGAAGCTATTACAAGTCCTCTGGAGCTTAATAGTTAACGTAACATAAATGTGGCTTTACAAAAATGATACAAAATGAAGCAAGAGTCAGTTTTATTGGCTGATTTTATCTAGAGATGCAGAATTATAGGCACATCTTTACTCAGAAAGATTTCACTCATAAAAATATAAGCAAGGAACAAAAGTTCACATGGGGTTTGGGAGAGAACATTCCTTACCTCCTGCGGCACATTCTTTTCTATGCTCATCTATTGTTTTTGGTTCCTCTTTAGCTTCCTAAAATCATAAAGAGATTTTATTGCTGTACATAGAGTGGAAATCCTTCATAACCAATCATTTCCCAACTTCCTGTCCTCTCCTAACCCTACTCTATCAAAAACACTGTGATATTCAAAGAACTGAACTAGGGGTTAAGAATAAAACAGGACTAGCTCTAAGGGGTTTTCCAATGTAGTTGAGGTACACAAGACAGAAATAGATGAATAGTGATACAAATTACCACAAGGCAACCACTAGGTTTGATTATCAAATAAATGAGATGTGAATAAATAAGTGCTCTACAAAGATAGGGAGACACCATGGCTTGAGAAGCATGGCAAGTCTCTGCAGATGAGAAACATGCTGGAGCTTGATGGAGAGGTAGGACTGGATGCATGAAGAGGTGGGGGTGATCTAGGACTATCACATGTAGCTTTCTAGATAGGCTGCTGGGGAACTGGTGGCAAAAATAGCAACTAGGATTGTGTTATGTTAGGCTTTTACTCCGTATAAATACATTTTAAGGTCACTGGCCAGCTATCCTACAAACATATCTATACAACAAGAATTACCCTAATTAGAGGGTTGTACTATACTGCCTGGGAAAATCTAATGGGAAAGCAATAGGTATAAAATCATTTTTATGGTGACAATTATTCAACATTCTCAGAAATTTTCCATAAAAAGCAAGTCTATGACAAATTTCCTTGGTAGAGCCATTGATACCATGTCATGTAATTTTTAGATAATTGAAGCTAGGACTTTGATAAAATGTAACAAATGCAGTAATAAAGGTAAACCTCTGGGTCATTCTTATCAACATTTAAATATTCTTAAGTTTTCTGAATCCTCCCTCAACACCCTAATCTCTTCCATCTGTGGCATCTTCTTTCTCTCCTCTCCCTTATGGCCATGCTTCTTCTGGGAAGAATTGTCCATAGTTGCAATTTCCAGTTTTTCAACTCCCATCTGTCCCTCCACCCAATACTCCAAGAAAACTGCCCCTTCCAGTTATCAGTGAACTCTCTATTGCCAAATTCAATGGAAATTTTTCAGGCTTTATCTTACTTCACCTCTTTGTGGCATCTCAAATGACCTACAATCCCCTCCTCCTTGAAGATTTTTCGTTCCTTGGTTTTCATCTCCTGATGTCCTCCCATTGCTACAGTAGCTCCTTCTGAGTTTCTTCTGTCATTGCCTTCTTTTCTTAGATAATGGAATCATCAAGAGTCCATTATTCTCTGTGTGCTCTTCCTGCCTGCTCTTTCCAAGTCTCCTTGAGAAATCTCACCCACATACTTTTTTTTTTAAGCTGGTAACTCACAAATGTGTGTCTACCCCTAAAAGTCCTAGGAATGAACTTATGAATATAGATATACAGCTGTATATGTAATATTTCAGAGTATTGATGTCTCGCATCAACCTGAAACTTGACTTGAACCAATCTTATTTTACCCCCTAAAGTTTACCTTTCTTACTGCCTCCCTCTTCTCATGAAATCCTATTCATTCTGTTGGATAAGCCACAATCCTGAGTATCTACATTGTCCCATGCATCCCCCACACCTACCCTGGTTATCAGTCACCGTGTCCTATAAACTCTGTCCCTTAAATCTCTCCCAAATTAGTCTTTTATCCATCCACACCAAATTCATACTATCCTCATCTCTTGCCTGAATTATCAATGGCATCCTAACCAGCACCTCATCTCCATGACTACATTTTCTAATTCTAACCCATATTTTTAAGTTTATTTCTATCTTGTCTTGAGATGAGAAAAAATCTTTTTCTCAGAAGACTACCATGAAAAATTAGAGGACTCAAATATTCCTCTATTATTTTATAAGGGGCAACCACTTTTGGCATGTTTGCTAGCCAACACTACACTCTATATACACTTCACACTACAAAGGATGATTCCAAATCACATATCCCATCATTCCACTCCCTTCAGACTAGAGTACTATAAAGTTTTTGTCCACCCTATTGCCTCAAATGTATTTATGCCACAACCATCTCTCAGCTTGAGTTAGCTTTTGTAAGTCTCTGTTTCTTAAAACCAAATGGGCCTAACTAAAACAATGTTTATATACTGATGAGAAAACAATACACACACACACACACACACACACACACACACACACACACACATACGTACATACCTGTATACATACAATACAGAGAGGGACTAATACATAAATAAGACCCTTGAGGAAACATGGAATTGGATCAATAGTCTACAAGTTACTCTCCAATAATTATAAATTCATACCAGTGTCAATGAACTTTCTCTTTAAGGAAAGGAACTTTTTCTGTAAGCATTTAAATAATGTTGTATAGCAGTTTTCCAGGTTCCTGGATAGCATTCAATACCATTCACAAAGTACCTCCTCCATGACAGTGTCTGGCCTCCTAACCCAAGCATTTTTCTTTTACATCACTAACCACACTACGTAATTGTATATTACTGAGTAACTGTATGTTTCTTCCCTTAATTAGAACATGTTCTCTTAATTAGACCAGATCTTTAAGGTAAATATTACTGTTTTATTTAACCTTACTTATTAATACATTTGTTTACTTAAAAGTCCTCTATTGATAGATGTTTAACATGTTTCCAGTAGACCTTTGATGAATAAGTGAGTGAATGAATGAAAAAACAATGTGGAGTAAGGAAGTCCTAGCTCTAACTCTATTGTGTGACCTTGGACAAGTCACAGGGACTCTTGGGCACCAACTTCTTAATCAATAAAACATTGATGTGATTAAATTCTATTAACTTAATATTTTGAAAGGATAAAATGTGCTTTTAAGAATATTTTACAAATTTAAAGGGACAGTTCTACCATCGTACTATATCATTACTTTTATTGCCAACACGCGTATATTTCCTTACCAGATTTAATGTGGTTTTGTCCTCACTCACAGAGCCTTGGGGTGCAGTATTGTCATGAGCTGGACTTTTGCCTGTGAGAGAAAGGGAACACACTGAACAGTTGCCTGAGCAGGAACAAGTGAAAGAGGAAGAAATAGTGAGGGTGGCAATTACGAGCAGACTAGTAAGTGGCAAAAATCTTAACATGTAAGACAAATTATATACTATAAAACTTTAAACGTGTCCATTGATTCAAAATCAGGTCTAGAGCAGCTAAGGTTCCCAAGAAAGCTAGCCCTATAAGATTTCTTAATAGAAATTAATATCTGTATGAATGGCCTTCCAGTAAGTTTTTAAAATCTTTTTTAAGTCTGCTTTTTTTTTTAAATCAAACACATTACCAGTATACTTATAGAAACTGGATGAAGGAAGGTTGAACAACCAGTAACTTAGTAGCTTTCTAATAGCTTGACAAACCGGTTTTTAAAAATTGCATATGTAATACTGATAAACAAGTATGATATTCTTCCAAAACGTGGTATCTTTCTAAAAAAGAAAATCATCAAACTAAGGAATGAAGGCACTATAGATGTATGCCATTTCTTTTTGTAATTTCCTTTATTTTTGTGTACTTTATTCGTACTGAAATGTACTTGATAATGATTTTCCTCTTTATATGATCCATTGTCTTGAATTTAGTTCAGTGCAGGCACAAAGGTCAGCAGCTATAAATAGGTTGTGTTTCTTTTTTAAAAAAGTAATAAAGTATGTATTATATTTTTAAATTTTATATGGAAATAAGAACAAAATGAAAAAGTCTTTTTCCAATGAAATTTCAACTTTTTGTTAACTTTTACTTTATTTTTTGTTTTTATACTTTTTAAAACTATATATATATACATATATATATATATATCCAAGTTAGCATATAGTGTAATAATGATTTCAGGAGTAGAATCCAGTGATTCATCCCCTATATATAACACCCAGTCCTCATCTCTATTTTATTTTGGAGAGAGAGAGTACAACCAAGGAGTGACAGAGAGACAGGGGGACAGAAGATCTGAAACAGGTTATGTCCTGAGAGCAGCAAGCCCAATGCAGGGCTCAAACTCATGAACCACAAGGTCATGACCTGAGCTAAAGTCAGAGTCTCAATGGACTGAGCCACCCAGGTGCCCGATGTTTTCATTAACTTTTAAGACAGAGAATAGATTCATATGGTCCATAAATTTAAAAGTGTAAACTGTTATGGTGAAAATTATCCCTCCCATCCATGCCTGCCAGAAACCTACTTTCTATCTGCATAGACAATGTTATTTTTGTCTAGCCTTTCAGAGGTATTTTATGTATACATAAAAACTTCTTCTTGTCCTTTTTCACCACAAAATTTTACATGCAATATATAATGTTTTATATTTGTTTTTTTTAAAGAGACAATAGTTATTTGATATCCTTCTAAGGAAGTTTCCTTATATATGTTTATGGATTCATAGTAGTATTCCATTACATGGAGATGCCAATATAGATTAACTAGGCTTCTTTTGATAGTTAACTTGTTTCCAATATTTTGTTATTATAGACAATGCTGTAGTAAAGAAACTTCTACAAGTTATGTGTGTGCTTAGAGCTATAGGATAAATTCCCAGAAACCAAATTGTCTTATCACAGGATATGTACACTTAACATATTGGTAGATATCAGCAAATTCCTTTCTATATTAATTATAATAATTTACATTCCCTATAGAAATGTATGAGATTTCCAGTTTTCCCCACAGTCTAACCAACAGAGTGTAATAAAATTTTTGCATCTTTGTCTACATGACTAGTGAAAAATGGTACCCTGGTGTAGCTCTAATTAAAATTTCTCTTATTCAGGGGGGTGCCTGGGTGGCTCAGCCAGTTGGGCGTCCAGCTTTGGCTCAGGTCATGATCTTACAACTCTGAGTTCAAGCCCCGTGTTGGGCTCTGCACTGACAGCACAGAGCATGGAGCCTGCTTCGGATTCTATGTCTCCATCTCTCTCTGTCCCTCCCCTGCTCACGCTCAAAAATAAACACTAAGAAAATGTTTTTAAATAAAAAAATAAAGAGGCGCCTGGGTGGCTCAGTCAGTTTAAACGTCCGACTTCAGCTGAGGTCATGATCTCGCGGTTCGTGAGTTCGAGCCCCGCATTGGGCTCTGCGCTGACAGCTCAGAGCCTGTACCCTGCTTCGGATTCTGCGTCTCCCTCTCCCTCTCTACCCCTCCCCCGCTCACGCTCTGTCTCTGTCTCTGTCTCTCTCTCAAAAATAAATAAACATTAAAAAAAAATAAAAAATAAATAAATAAAATTAAAAAAATAAAAACAAGTTTCTCTTATTCGGTCTGAAGTAGAATATGAAGATATTCTTCAGTTTAAGTAAGGAATAGATTCCATTTCTACAATTTTACAACTCCTTTAGTTTAGCATCTATATCTGAACTGTCCAGTTCACACAATAGAATGGATTTTCCTTGACTGATGTGTTTGGGGTGAACGGGAGCCTATGGACTTCCGTGAGTGTTAACTGCAGTGATGGTTTAGTGGGAATGCTTGAGAATCACTACTTTGTTTTCAGACTCAAAAAAGGATCCAACATAGTATATAGTTGATTCTTTTGCCCCCTGAGTGAACCATCACAAACTGGCCCCTCCTTTTAACCAAATAGATTCTAATGGGGATTCTGAGAATTTCCTAAGCAGATGAGTCTATATCTGTGCTACAGTTGAGACCCAGTTGTATCCAGTCAACCTTTGCCATTAGGAAATATTTAAGCCCTATTAAAATATATTGTAAGTTTTGCTCTATCTACAGAATTGGGGGAAAAATGGCACCTCTTGGACTTCTTCTCCCCAGAGTATAACCTCATTTTTTTAAATAACATATTACTGAACTATGAGGATAGTTACTCTAGTGGCTTACAGGTTTGCTTACTGTTTTAGAATGGAAACTATATTTGAATATTTCAACTCCAATAGCTTACCTGTGATCTTTATCATAGAAGAGGCTGATCCTGTATCCTCCTCTTTCTCACAGAGTGACTTACAGACAAGGTCACCAGAAGCCATATTCAAAATTTCTGGCCCAGAATCTATCAACAGGAAGAAACTAACAGCATGAACACTATGCAAAAAGAAATTATTTGCCTATGTTCTTTTCATTTGCACTCACCTCAGCAGGTCACAGAAATCAAGCTTCTAGTTATAAAACTAACACTCTATTTTTATATCTTTTCCAAGTTCACTCACCACTTGAAGTCACAGTACTCTCTGTGGATGAAGTGTGTCCAGGAGATGATAGTGTGGAATATTCCCTGTCAAAGGAGTAGAGAAAACATTTTGGAGTGTCAGGTCCAAAGATTTCCTTAAAAATTAACAAAATATGCATTCTAATTCACATATACAAACAGGCAAACCTGGACTGTGGCAGGCTCTTAGGATACAAGCATTCAACACCATTCTCCTAAAGACAAAAAAAAAGGAGGAAAAACAAGTTTAACAATTTGGCATTTTCCATTCTAGAGAGGTTGTTTTAAGCAAACATTTTCATAGAGTTTTAAACGAACCCGTATTTACTTTGCTCTTTTTGAGAGGATATGGGAAGGGGATGGTATAGTGCAGGCTGATATACATACTTCCTCAAAGTTGTGCTTGCAAAAAAAAAATCCAATTTTAAATATACTTGCAAGTTCAATATTTAACGAATACCTGATAAATTTTCGGGCAAAACAAATTCTAAACTTAAAGGGCAGATAGATTTTATTTCATGAACTTAAGTTGTCTTTAAACAGAACATTCTATGTGGGCGTAATAAAATATTTCTATTTATGGAAATGTTATTCAACCTAAAACTTTTGACCTGGTGATTTAAAAATGGTTTTCTATTTTCCAGCTAGACAAATCATACATTTTAAACTTAATCCCACTACTACTCGGCGCTCAAAAAGAGCTTAACAAAACTGTAGTCCCAGCCTGTCAGGGCAAATGCTTGAAAGTCTTATTTGAACTTCTTAATCTTGATCAGGATTTCCTAATTTGGGGGGAACTTGAGGACATTAGGGTTGATTAGTTCACATGCTCTCAAATAATGCAGTAGGAACATGGGTTACTCTTTAATAATACGTTTTTCTGATAAGTATATTTTCATTATTATTTGGTTTATGTGGGAAATAAAATTTAATATTGAAAACTGAAACCATTCGAAAATACCAAAAACCTGCACAGACCATTCAAAGGTGAAGACACTTACATATTCTATAATCAAGCAGAGAACTTATTAACAGCCACAACCAAACAGGTTTCAATGGAGGGATATTGTATATCACACCCAGTATTTAGAATCTACCCCAGATAATATGGACTATAGTCACAGAAAGGTAAGGATTTAGCAAGAGTTTGCTGAATATGTAGTTATGCAATGCAATCACAGCATTCAAAATTTACAGAAGCCCTTTTCATATATTGTCTCCTTTAATTCATCTAACAGCCTTATGAAGTGGGTTTTAGCAAGAAAGTATTTACTTATTTCAGGTAAAGAAAGTAAAGCCAGTGAATCAAGTAATTTCCCAGCAGTATTCAGAATAGTAATGTAAGCTTCCAAACCCAGTTCGGATGAAATACAGTGTCCTCTCTACTGTAAACAGAACTGTCTCTGAGATACCCTAACCCAGGCTGTTGGTGAGGTACAGACTTGCCAATTATTGTTTTAAACAGGTAGATGATTTAAACATAAATGTTTACAACGTTCACCTCAAATGTTTAGAAATATCCACAAACTTGCAAAGCAAGAATTTATACCTAATCCTCTTATATATCAATGTTGAACAATCTTCCCTATTTCATTTTGTCTCTGCTTTAAATGCCTTTGGGTCAGATCATGCGTGCCTGAAGCCTCTCATGACATCAGCTTGATATAATTCAACAACCTTCATCAAAGGCCCACTTTGTCCCAGGAACAGTGACAGAGGCCGGAGGCACACTAAACTACAGTACTTGTCCCACAGGAGTTTGTAAGCCAGTCAGGAAGACAAATGCCTAAACCAAACCATAAATTATAGGCAGCACTGCACCGAGGAAAGTAACATGCACAAAATAGATTGGGGTCATATTTGAATTACATTTTTTTAAATGTCTTTATTTTTGAGAGAGAGAGAGAGAGAGAGAGAGAGAGAGAATGAGAACGTGTGCAAGGGAGGGGCAGAGAGACAGGGAGAGGAGAGAGAATCCCAGGTAGGTTCTGCAGTGTCATTGCAGAGCCCAGTACGAGGCATAATCTCACCAACAAAACTGTGAGGTCATGACATGAGCTGAAATCAAGAGTCAGGCACTTAACTGACTGAGCCACCCAAGTGCCCTGAATTACATTTTGAAGAGAAATTGTATCTTATACCCTACAGGTAACTGATGATATCCCCATCATTAAAATAGTTAATAGATTGTATTAGCAATTATTACATGCTTATTTAACTATATTCCAATATACAGGTAAGAAATGAAGCTATAAAAATAGTAAAATACTAAATATCCTCAGTTTTATTGAATATCATACTTCATAAAAGTCAACAAGGCTTCATTCCTTGATAATTTAAAAATCAGACCCCCTTAAAATCCTGTAACATATAAAAATTTGATTATATATGTCTTGAAACACTTGCTGCTGTGCTATAATACATATATAATAATAATAATAATAAATTATATTGTACTAACTAAAAAGTTAATTTTTTCAGAAAAAGACTTCTTATACCTATTAGGGTTGTGGATACCTGTATCTGAATTTAAGGGGTATGAAATTTTACTTTATACTTAAGTATTTTATACTTAATTAAGCTGGCTTTCAATATGAGAAAACAGGAAACACATCATTTTTATAAACTAAAAAATGTCTATTATTTAAACTCAAAATAATAAACACAGCAAAATACGGTTTACCTCCATTACAAATGAGTCTCATTTGCTGTAATGCTCTGTGTAAGTCCTTCTTCTGTTTTAATACCTTATATGTGAAACATTTTAGAGAGAAGCTTTTTGATAAATGTAAAATATTTATGGATTAAATAATAATTCTGTAATTTTGGAGAAATGTCACATTTAGCAGCCACACATTACTACATCATTGTTCAGGAGCAGTTGCAAGGTAAGCAATTGGATATTATTTCCAATTCATTAGTCTTTCTATATCTCACTGATCGGAAAAATCCCAATAGACAACAAACATATCTCAAGCCCAGATTTTCATAAATTGGTCCAAGCATTTTCCCCTTCTTACAGAATAACTAGAAAAACGATTTTTTTTTCAAATTTAGATTTCTAGTTAATGAAACTGGCAATATAAGTCCTCAGGGTGTCTGTGCATATTGAGTGGGGATGACAGACAACTCAGCAAAAATTTTCTACAATTGTGCTTTTTTCCCCCCAGCTTCAAGTCACCACTATTCAAACCAGCATCCCGGACCCACAGGAAACCTAACCTCCACAAAACAGCTATAAATACTTGGCAGATCATGAAAAAGATAAATTTCTGGATATATTTTAAAACCAAGACAAGTTAAGAAACTGACTAAAAGCAAGAAAAAGAAAGTTCAGATGACAGACTTACTTACATGTAGAAGACTGGCTCAAGTCAATGAGTCTAACACATGTCGACAGCATAGAGCAGGAAGAATGTTCTTCCTGTGCAAGTCATTCAAATAGCAACCTGCATAACATTTACATGAAAATCCGTGGCCAGCCCATTTGCTTTTGACAGCAAGCGTCTAATGGAGGGTGGGGTAGCCAGGTACTCATGGAACAAAGTGAGACATATTCTCCCATGGGCTGGGTCAGCAAACGCAGGCCACGCACACAGGCATGGACACACACACACACACACACACACACACACACACACACACCGGGATTATTTCAATATTTAGATAGAAAAATATGAAGAATAAGATATTATTATTATTAATATTTAGGTTATTAGTAAGAGTAATTAATAGGCCTAGATCATCTCCCAGGATTACTTTATTTTTGCTCTTTTAGATAAAATGTTTCTTTAGCTATAGATTTTATGACCAGAGACCCTTCCATTTGTGTTACCAATGTAATTTTTACTATTAGATCTATTTTAGATGATCGGTACTACTCCAATAAATTCATAGGGTTTTCTGAGGAAAAAACCTGAAAAGAGTCTATATATAGGCTTATTTCATTCTAACTTAAAAAAAAAAAAAGTCCTTGACTCAGTGTTGGTTTCAATGTTGTGGAAAGAGAATGTAAAATCGAATACCAAAAGATCACAACTACTATAACCTAAACAAAACTAAATTTCCTCACAAGCTTTTTTTTTTTTTGTACCTAAAAGGACACCACACCCTCAGATCTACAGGACACACCTACCAATCTGAGGTTTATAGTACAATTATAAGTCAACTTCTATATGTTCCAATTTTGCAACTGGCAACGTTATTCATTCTCCAAGGTTATGACAGACAATGACCAGAAAATCTTCTGAGATATTTCAAAATTGACTGTCCTTTGTCTCATAAATCATCTCCTCCTAGTGATAGTATATCTTAGACAAAAACATGTAATAACATGGAGGAGACCTCAAAGACCTATTTTTTTAACAGCCAAATTAAAAACAGAGAAATTCATCTTCATATCCTCCGATTGTGACAAGGTATTGTCTTTTTTTTTTTTTTTTCATTGACTTATGGTTGACATACAATGTTTTATTAGTTTCGGGTAGACAACATAGTGGTTTGACAATTCTACACATTACATAATGCTCATGAGAAGGGATCTTTTGAGCTTCACACTGCTGATAATTCTGATTCTGGGTGACAGCTATAGCTGCTTTCTGAGTGTTTACTAGGAAACAGGTACTTTGCATACATCATAAAGTGTCTTGGTGGGGTTAGATCTGAGACTGAAGTAGGTAAAGAGAAGAATCCATTTCATTGTCATAGAATCTTCATGAAGCTCCTTAATTCTCTGAGTATGTGGGGACACACATAGGTACCTAGGCACACCCCCAGTTTGGCTCTTCGGTTGCTGTTCAGACTCCATGGTGGGAGCATGTGATTAAGAAAAAGAAGACAGACTACAAGGAGAGACAACTGGGCCCTGGAGAGAAACTGCCAAGAGTGAGGAAGAGTTGAGGAAGTCGGGCTAAACAGACCACTGCCCCCCCCCCACCCCCCCACTGACGGGAGCCACAGTACTGGAGTCAGTGGGAGACGGCTCCTGGCCACTGTGCCTCCCCACCCACTGGCTTATCTCTGTATGTACCTTGACACAGAGAGGGTCATTTTAACAATCCCATCACAAGTAGTCCGCCCCCCAACACTGTAGTAGGACCTTGCTCTGAAGTACTGAGACAAAAAAGAAGAATCCTCTCTGCTGGCCGGGGAGTAAAGATCACTAAGGTGATCAGGCACAGAGCTCCAAAGAGTTAAACATAGAGGGCGTGTGGGG